ATGGCACTATGATCACTGGATATTTAAAGGTTTGATAAAATTTTCCCGTGAGATCATCTGGACCTAGTAATTTTTGCTTTGATTTTCTTCTTCAAAGCTTTTAAAAAAATTATACAATATCTATCTTCTACATCTCTCATTTTGTCTTAAATCTCTTTCATTTCTTCTTTATTTAAATGATTCATTATATCTTATTATATTTGTATTAAGTGATTGGTATGGTTTGGATATTTCACCCCTCCAAATTTCATGTTGGAATCTGATCCGAATCTCATGTTGGAGGTGAGGCCTAATGGAAGGTGTTTGGGTTATGGAGGCAGGTCCCTCATTGAGTGATTAATGCTCCCCTGGGGTGGAGTATGGGGGCACTGAGTAAGCTCTGGCTCTATTAGGAGCTGGCTGTTACAAAGAACCTGGCCCCTCCCCACTCACCTCTTGCTCCCTTTCTGGTCATGTGCTAGCTGTACATAGCCAGCCTGGCTCCCCTTCACCTTCTTCCATGAACCTTCTTTAACTTGAAGCCATCACCCAATGCAGATGCTGGCACCATTCTTCTAGTACAGTTTGCAAAACTGTGAGTAAAATAAAACTCTTTTCTTTATAAATTACCCAGCTTTACATATCCCTTTTCAGCAAATAAATGGGTTTGCATTTTTTCTAGTTCATTTCTGAAATAATATTTCTTTCTAAATGTTTCCTGGGTATTGGAAGTTTTTGTTTAAAATCTTCCTTTTCTTCTCTCACATCATGTATGATCTTTTTCAAGTTCTGATTTGATTTTTCCTCATGCCTTCTATCATTTTCTTGAATTTCAAAGCTCATTTTGGAATACTGAGTTACAGTTTTTATCTGCTTGAGGGCATATCTGTGAAATCTCATTGTCAGCAGAAATATTATTTCGCTCCTATTCTGTCTTGTCATATAATTTTGTATGGGATTTAACTATGATAATATTCTGTAATGTATTCACTTAAATGAAGCAAGTTTGCCTCTGCTTTTAAAGGGAGGGACAGGCCAGAGTAGCTTTTCTTTACTTCACAGCCATCAGACACTATCATATGATTGTATTATACCCACCCAACACTGGAATTCTGTTTCCAATTTCTGCTGCTCCTTTCACATGACCCCATAATGCTTTACAGTAAGCACCTTTGGCAATGCGAGGGTTCTTCTGCACTCAGTGACATCAAAGCCCATTTGTTTGCCTCTACTTCCTTTAGTCAAATGCTGAAAACATGCAGATCTTACAGATGGTGGTGGTTTATCCCTGCATGCCTATAACTGGGGTCTGTGGGACTATCCTGTTTTGAAGATATTACCGGTGTGTTTTTGGTTTCTGGTTTCACTATTCTGGTTGATCTATTGCTATTTACAGGAGGAATCAGTGAGGTTCAAAAACTATCACTATCACTATCATCATCCCCACACTGTCTGAACTGTTATTCAGCTAACAAGAGTCTAAGAAAAATGTGAGGGTAATGTATAGATGAAATTAACTAGCTAACATAAGTATACTACTTGTATTTAAATTATTGATTCTGTTATAACTTTTAGGAAAAGATCTGAGGCTTCTTTGGAAAACCAGTGTTTTATTACACTTAGAAAAGTGCTCCAGAAACTTTTTAACCAAATTCAATCAATGGGATATTATCCCAGTAATAATGAATTCATACGCTTCATTGTGCATTATGTTACTTTTTCAGGAAAAAAATGAGACCAAAATAAATATAGACAAAAATACAAAACAGGATTCTGGAAGGTTCTGCCTTAAAAATAAAATAAAAGTTAGCAAAGAACCACCATTAATTCAAAAGGACTTCACATGGCTGAGTACATGGTTTGCACCTGTAATCCCAGCACTTTGGGAAGCCGAGGAGGATGGATCACTTAAGGCCAGGAGTTTGAGACCAGCCTGGCCAACATGGTAAGACCTCATCTCTATTAAAAATAAAAAATTAGCCAGGAGTGGTGGCGCACACCTGTAGTCCAGACTACTTGGGAGGCTGAGGCACAAAAAGCACTTGAATCCAAGGGGTACAGGTTGCAGTGAGCAGAGATCATGCCACTGTATTCTAGCCTGGGTGACAGAGCAAGACTCTGCCTCCAAAAAAGAAAAAAAGGACTTCACAGAACAAAAACAAGTTTCTAGGGTGTGCAGTGTATAAAAAACGGGCATATAATTCCTCAATACTGTCTCTATAAACTGAAACTTGTTCCAGCAAAATACTACACAATCTGGAGCAGCAGTCTAGCGACTTAGTGTTCTAACACTGAGGTAATAGTATTTTAATTTTTCACTTCTCCTTTATCATACATACATATTTGTCTCTAATGATTTTTTAAAAGTCACCAATAATCCCACTTGAAAAAAAGTTCTCTTTCCATCCACACTGACCTTTATATAGTTCGTTTCTTAAATTTACTTTTATATATTTACCTTTTGGAGACAGGGTCTTGCTCTGGTGCCCAGGCAGGGGCGCAGTGGCGTAATCATAGCTCACTGCAGCCTCAAACTCCTGGGCTCAAGCAATCCTCCCACCTTAGTGTCCGGGGTAGCTAGGACTACTGGTGTGTGCTGCCACATCTGGCTAATTTATTTTTATTTTTTGTAGAGACAGGTCTCATTATATGCCCCAGACTAGTCTCTAATTCCTGGCCTCAAGCAATCCTTCTGCCTCAGCATCCCAAAGTGCTGGGTTTATAGGCATAAGCCACCACACCTAGCCTATATAATTTTTCACACAAAACTCAGTGTTCTCTTTTTAAACTTAACACTATGATGACATGCAAAAAATTGTTTCCACAGTTGTCTTTTTAATGACAGAATTTATTTTATTAAATTCCTTTAAGGAACAGTAAGTGTAAGGCCAGCTGCCACACAGAGGGTTAAACGGACTCATCCATCTCTCTCCGTGCCTGATAACTGCGTCAGCACCCAAGTTCGTTATCTGGCCTTGCCGCACGGCTTCCCTGCACCCACCTCCACATACCAGACCCAAGCCCACATTCAGCACTAAATTATGCATTCAACCCCCAGCCCGCTGTTGATAAACCCTGCAGGAAAGTTTTTTAGAGAAGCCCCATCAGACCCCGCCCGGTAGCAGTCTGCTCTGTATGCCCCCGGAAGGCCTGCTTACCCAAGGTCCCACCCACCTATCCATAACCACTAGCTCCAGGCATTTCCTGCTTCTTAATAGCCAATAAGATTGCCTTCACTTTGTTTCTCCAACAGTCAATCAAGGCCCAAGGTCCCGCCCACCTACCCATGACCACTAGCTCCAGGCATTTCCTGCTTCTTCATAGCCAATAAGAATGCCTTCACTCTGTTTCTCCAACAGCCAATCAAGGCCCACTTACCCAAAGTCCCACCTGCCTACCAATGGCAACTAGTTTCAGGTACTTCCTGCTTCCTGACACCCAATAAAATTGCCTTTGCTTTGTTTCCCCAATAGCCAGTCAATCTCCTTCCCTCCCCATAAAACCCCATGACCTAAAACAGCTGGGCTCTACTTCTTTGGCCCCTTCCTGGACCACAGAACCTCGCCCAGGAGCTGAATAAACTGGCTTCTCATTTTCTCATACTAGCCTCAGTTTCCTCATTTTACATCGGCAATAAACCTTACAGTAAGTAGTTATAACAATAGGCAACCTCAATGACCAAATATGAATTATCGAAGTTATACTACACAAATGAATGAAATGGTACCATATATGATCTCTACATATCTTACAAGTAAAGAAAATTCACGTTCAAAACAGAGAATGTAAGCAAATTCAGAAGCACAGCTCTGTTTACCATTACAAGGTAAAGAGAAGGCTATCCATACGTTAATTACAAGGGCTATCCATAAGTTAATCAAGGACCCTAGCTATTAAAAACAAATGGCTGAACTTGAAAGCACAGATTGTTCTTCCTGTGTGTTACGAAGTGGAACAACACGAAATTTAAGTTTACTTGTTAAAACTAAAATACATCTTTATTATAATGGAACTAATTTTAACTTAATTTTTCTACCCAACCATAAAGCCAATGCCACATACCTTAAATGTTTTTTGTTCAGAAAACTCCACTTTTCAAGGTACGAATTTCTATATAGGCTCAGGCAACATCAACTGAAAATAAAATAAAATAAATAAATGTACAATGGTTCTAAAAGTAGAGTATTTTACTGATTGCTCTGATAAATCCAAAATATGTTACTGATGGATTGGCAATATTCCTCCACCTGGTGACTCAGGAGCCTAGGCTCCTTTCTTCTTGTGGCTCCACCATCATCAAAATGTGGTTTCCAAAGTCACCATGCATGTTTGCACCAAGCCACAGAAGGGGAAACGGCATGCAGAACTGCGTGTCTTTTCTGAGATAAAAGGCTTCCACTCACATTCCACTAGTTAGAACCCAGTCACCTGGCCATAATAAGGAAGGCTTGAAATACCGTAGAACGATCTGTCCTGGAAGAGGAAATTCTGGCCAGTCTAGTCAGTCTTTGCTACACTTTGTCAGCAGCTGTTTTTGTTAAATAAGCTCTTTAATTCTCTTATTATTCAAATAAGAGAATTTTATTCTTTTAATTGGTCTAGAAAGATTAGATTTTTCACTAATTAAGGTTAGTCTTTGATCAATACACAGGAATGCACATTTAGTAATGTTCCATTAAAATGCCAGGAACATTATTTTTAATCTTTGGAAACAAGAGAACAAAAAAGCAAAAGAGCTAAAGGAGTAAGAATGTAAATAATGTGAGATCTAATGCCTTTCAAGCTATAATAAATCCATTTTTAATTACTTGTACTAATATGTATGGCAAGTTTTACTTCTCAATTTTTATGGTATATAACCAAGAGTTGATGGCAAGTTTTACTTCTCAATTGTGTTTTATGCATATGACCAAGAGTTGATTTTATATACTTAAACTCTATACTTATGAAAGAAACTTCTCATACCAATCAATCCATACAGTACTCCTGAGTTTAGGCATTTAAAATTCTTTGAGACAAAATGGACAAGAAAATAAGGGTTTTATTCAAAGCCACAAAGGGAAGAGCACATGATTCCCAGTACTATACTCGCAACAAATTTTCCCTCTAGAAAGGAACCGACTGAATTATTTATGTTTTTTATATTGGTAGAAATGCAGTAGAAAATGGAAATTAAAATAAGTGAAGGAAATATACACAATAGTATCTTAAAATTAGTATACAAATTATAAAACAAACAATCAGTTTTAGACATACATGATATTCTTTCAAGCAGTAATAGTCTCATGTAAAATTACTAAATAATGAAATATTCACATGTGAACAGTAATTTTCATTTTATAGTATCCTGCACAAGTATAACTATACATTTAAAAAATCTATATTGAAGTGTACGATCTAGGATGTTTACTAATACAAAGACTCACATCATAAAATGTCATGTAATAAAACATTCTTCACAATATTTGTTCTAAAAAGTGGCTAAAGCCCATGTCCAAATACCTTTATGGAAAGTTCTTAACTGAGTTAACTTTAGAAAATAAAGAGCAGAAATATAAATATACTATGTGTTTTATATTTAAAGTTAAACTTGAGGCTAAGTTTCATATTTTCATAAGAACACTAGTATGCTAAAGTACGTAAGAGAATGAACAATTTATACTTAAAAAAATTAAGGTAGCCATCTCAATCACATTTACTTCAAAGGTATAAGAACACCAGCATAAGTTTCTTTAACATCATGTTAATGGCTCTTGGGACATTTCTTTGTCCTCTGGCATCTGAAGACATTACCTGAATTTCACCAAATGCTTCTTGGTTTCGCTTTTTTCCTTCAGTAATTCATCTCTTATTTCCAATATAACTTCTTTGACTACTTGCTTGTGTTTCTAGATGCAAAATTATTTTGTCAGGGAAAAGTTGATGTGTAACCTGCAGAAACTTCCAGAAGACGCTGACCAATAATACTATTTGAAGTTCTTCCTGATGATGCCAATGTTAAGAGTCCTAAATCAGAAGGCAAAAAAGCAAGCCGTGGAAAGCTATCCTATTTTTCAAAATGTCAGGAAGGTAAGCCTAATATATTTCAGGTACCAGTCCTACAAACTTACATGAGCAGAGACATGTAAACAGATTTTAAAATGTGTAATAAAATGCCACATTAGAATGCTGTGCCTGGTACAATTGAGGAACAAGGAAGAATGTGACCAATTCTTCCTATCATGTCAGTAATAATTCCATAAAGAAGGTTAATATCAGAGCTGAATGGGGTCTTCAAAATTAGTAGGGATCCCCTAAGTATATGTGTGATGGGCATGATATGAAAGAAACAATAAAAAAGCAGGATAAAGCCATTATGAAAAGTATTTCTCTCATGCTATGGAGTTTGGATTTCTTCCTATAGGTGATGAAGAACCACTGAGAAGTGACTGACATGATCTTCCAGAGAAATAATTCTGATAGTCATATGGAAGAAAAAGCAAAACTGAAGGTGATACAATTGTTAGGCTATTATAGTGATCCAGAAGACAGCTGAGGAGGCGGTCTGAAGACAGGCCACACCAAAGAGGATAGGGAGAATGGCAGAGATGTTAAGAAAGTTTTATGGCTCAGGGCATGATTGCTTACTGAATGTGACAGACATCAAGTGGGAGGTGTAAAAAAGATGACTCTCAAGTTTCTAGTTTGGATTACTGGATTGTTCATGGCTTCATTCACCAAAATTTGAATTGCTGGAGAAAGAAAAGACTCAAGATAAGTAAAATGCTTCCTTTTGGATATGTTGATTCTGAAGTGCCTTATGGTGTATTTAGATAGAGAACTCATTTAATGAGCGTACCAAACAACAACAGCAAGTATACCACAAACAACAATTAGGCATAAGAAAACAGATAGGACCACCAAAGAAATAACAAGAGTTTCACCTAATGGCAACAATGTTCTGTTCTGCTGGGAGGGTAATTAAGATGAAGACTGAAGAAAGTCTTTCTGGTTAATTTGATTTGAATTGGACAATTTGATTAATACTTTCATTATGGCTTCCAACAATAAATAGTTATTGGAGGCTTCAATGAGGTAGAATTAAGAGTGAATAGGTGAGGACTTCAGTGTAGTAAATTGGCAAATACCTACATCCACCATAAACGATACAGAACAAGAACAAATAAATCTACCCAAAAATCACATCCTCAGCCTAACAAGAATAAAAATATAGCCAAATGTCAAATACTTATAAGTAAAAAAATTAAAAGTATCAAATCCAAGTGAGTGATCTTTCACGTTTCTACCATAAGGCTTTGTAGCAAGCAAGAGCAGTCCAAAGAAGAACATACAGAATAAGAAAAAACAGATCTAGTGGCAGGCCTAAAACTGGTCTAAAATCACCAGCAGAAATAGAAATTTTATCCTAGGTACAAAAAATATAAAGCACCTCAGTATCACAAAAGTTATTACAGGATAGCTTCAGGGAGTGAAGGGAGACAAAAAGAATAGGTGAGGCGCCTTTTGGCAACTGGATGGTGAAGTGGAAAAGATGCAACAGGAGAAATTCAGGGTCCTGCAAGACAAAAACAAAAAACTGGAACATACATAATCCCTCCTCCCACTATAAAGTTAAAAAAAACCACGAACTAAAAAAAGGATACTTTTCTATGCTGAGAGAGTGCTTCTGAACTAGGAATCTTATAACCCCTCAAATTCAAGAAAAATGAATGAAAGAAAATGGAATAAATCTATATAATGGTAGTATGAGAAACTGGTGAACAATAATTAACATGCATTAGCTAATGAAAATTCTTTAGCAAAAAGCAACCATTAAAGCAAAAGAAAATTGTAACACAACATATCAAATTGAATAAAATCTGCAAGTAAGCATTTGGGGATATGAAAAAGCATTGTGACGTGGAAATTCAAAATATAAAAAACAGAAATAGACCAAAAAAAAAAAAAAAANCAACCAGGAATAAATTGAAAGATTACTGAATTCAAGAAAGAAATGGAAGGAGGGGAATTATAAATGAAGACTAAATTACTAGGTGCCCAAAGGAAAACAGACTAATGAAAACTTAGGCACTGGATAGATGCAAAAATTAATCAATAAGATACAGAAAAAAAGTAAAAAGGGTCAGAGAGAGAGTGAAAGTTGAACAAAAGATAAATAACTCACATATAACTGGAGTCCCTGAAGAAATAAAAAACAATGGAACAGAACTAGTATTTAAAATTATAATCCATGAAAAATTATCAGAAACAAAAAGGATCTGAAACTACCTTTTGAAAGAAATTTCCAGGTAACTGGAAAAGTAAACTTTGAATGCTAACTCCAAGACATAGCTCAGTAAAACTATTTAAACGTGAAAAAAAAAAAAAAAAACTTCAAGGATTCGGGGATATATGATTAAATAATTTACAAGGGCAAAATAATTAGACTGCTATCAGATTTCTCAAAAAATATATTAAAAAAGACAACAAATTTTCAAAAAACTGAAAGTGTGAACCAAGATTTTATATTCAGTCAAGGTGTCCTTCAGCATAAACACTGTAATAGAAAAACAGCTTCAAACATATAACTTAGACAATTATGTACCCATGAGCCATTCATGAAGATCTACTAGTGAATGAGCTTCATTCTCTAAGTCTTTGGGGGTGAGTCAATCTTGGCCTAGCTTCAAGTAGTTTCTTCACTGCACGCACTCATCAGTGCACAGACACTCAAAGGTGACCCTCTGCATACCTCTAGTGTTTTCTCTCTGTTGAGCAATCCTTCGTCTGGTAATCTGTTTTTCTGTCTTGGTCTATCTAGGCTCCCAGCTCCATTTCCTAACTTAGATGGTTCAACAAACTGTTCCCCAACCTTGGACTATAGCTTGGAAACTCTCTCAAAGCATTAAGAGGGGACAATTGTAGGACTCATCTTATTTGTTTCCCATCTCACAGGGATCACTGTACTTTGTTGTATGATGTCCCATGTCTTGAAATTATTGCTTTATATATAGTTTATTGGTTGGTTGTTTTAGGCAGCAAGGTAATGGGCTGGAAGCATAATATTTGAGTTAGTTCTTATGAAAAATAAAGGCTGACTTGGGGTTAAAACAAGAGCACAGATGACAGAGCAAAGAGCCACAGAATCTCCTCATGAAGTAGGAGAGATGACCTAATCAAGAAACGCAATATATGCTCGACTTAATTTTAAAATTTCTAATGAACAGTGACTGCTATATTCTTCCTATTTTTTTCTTTTTCCATGAATGTGCCTACTGTAGTTAATGTATATTTCTCTTACTACTGTGTTTGGTGTTTGTGTGGAGGGGGTGCAGAACTTATGTCTCTTAAGTTCACAAATCTTCAGAGTGAGTGGAAGCACACCTGAGTAGTTTCACCTCCATCTGGATCTGATTCATAAGAGACCCTAAACCTCAAGCCTAAGCCTAATGACTGACTGGGATGAAAGTTTCTTGAGAGGATTTGAATATATTTTCATGTGGGAGAAATATAAATATGTGGCCAGAGGGTAAACTGGTGTTCACACTCCTTCTGTCAAGAAGTAGAATTATGATCCCACTTCTTGAATACACGTGGGCTCTGTGACAACTCTGACATACAGAAAAAATGACACTGTGCCACTATCTGGGCTTAGGCCCCAAGATGGCACTTTCCACCTCTTATGTCTTGGAACTGTCCTTTGGAATGGTTGCTCTGGGAGAAGCCAGAAGCCATATAGCAAGTCCAACTACCATGAAATTGCTATATATGGAGAAAGTCATACTAGCCAGTCCCTAGCTGCTCCAGCCATTCTAGGCCAGGTGCCAGACAGGTTAATGAATGAACCATGTTGAATATTCTAGACCAGCATATACCATATGGAGAACAGAGGCCCTAAACATATAGCTTCATTCATCTCCAGATGCTTGAACCACTCTAGCTGAGGCCCCAGACATCATGAAGCAGAGGCAAATCATCCAGCTGAGCCCTTACCAAATGTCTTACCTATAAAACAGTAGATATAATAAAATGGCTATTACTATAAGCCACTAAAATAAGGAGTTTTTATTCACTAATGTATCCCTTACATACAGAACAGTGACTGGCATATTAAAGACACTGAAATATTTGTTGTGAGCCAACTTAAAAATGGTATTTCTAGATCACCTAGAAAGTGGGTGCAGTGTATACAAAATATGGTTTGAAAGTAGGCATTTCAATATTTAGAAGTTGAGCAGATGAAGAGGAACCAGCAAAACAGACTGAGAGACTACAACTAGTAAGAAAGAAGAACAAATAAGAACAATGTTCTAGAATCAAAGTAAAGAAAGTGTTTCATAAAGGGGAAATGATCAAGTATGTCACTGATACGCTGACAGATAAAAATGAGCACTGAGCATTAATTCTGGATCTGCTAGTGTGTAAAGTCACCAATGACCTTGACCTGAAGAGTTTGGTAGAATGATGAGGATGAAGTCAAACTTCATTCTCACTGCACTGAGAACAGAATGAGAACAGAGGAGAGAAAACAGACTTTTTAAAAATGAGTTTTCTGTCAACTGGAGGAAGGGCTAGAGGGAAGATGCAATGCCAATATTTGCTGTTTACACATTATAAAAATGTTATTGTATGCTAATAGGAATAATCCTGTAAAGAAGAGAAAAAAATAATAACACAGAGAGTAGAGGCAATTTAGTAGTTGAGAAGGGATAAAATCCAGTGCATAAATGAGTGGATTGGCCCTAGATAAGAACAACAAAAAAATTTATCTGGCGGTATGAAGAGAAAAAGTAGAGTTCATAGGTATAAATGCAGGTATACTGACAGATGTGCTGCAAATTTCCTTCTATTTGCTTCTATTTTCTCAGTGAAAAAGGAAGTACAGTCATAATCTGAGAATGAAGAGAGGGGAGATATGAAATAGTCCTTTAATACTGCACTCAAATATACTTGGCACATATCTCACTTGAGAACTTATCACATTGTGCTGTAATTATTTATGTATATATCTTTTTCCACTAAATTATAAAATAATTTAAGGTAGAGGAAGTACTTTTTATTTTTGCTTTACCAGCACATAACACAGTGCTCTAACAAACAAATGTTTAACTCACTGATTGAATAAATTAGTGTTATTGATTCCTTTAAGATTTGGGAGCAAAGCCAAGAGTGTTAAAATAGCAATCAGTAAAATACTGTCAAACATCTACTTGATATATATGCCTGAGCGTAGGTTGCAAATATTCAAAAACTGAAAGCATTAAACTTCAACTTATTTGTGAAATTAAAAACTACAGACAGGATACAAACATTTTGCTTTTTAATGTACTAAGGAAGTAATTACATGCTAATATAAAAAAATGTGCAGAGTTGTAAGTTACACTGGAGTATATTTCACACTGAATCTAGGTATCCAACATTTTATACAAAACATCAAAGTTCAGCTTCCAAAAGCCAGTATCTGAAAAAAAGTTACTACAATAATAATTTCCATTGAAAAAAAGTAGAAGCACTCACAACATAAAAACTGTTTATGTACAAAATATGACTACGGTGTGAGTTGAGAACAAATAAAAATTACATTCCTTGGATCAAGTAAGGGAAAATAGAATGTCCCATACTCTCATCCAGGCATGGTGGCTCACACCTGCAATCCCAGCATTTTGGGAAGCTGAAATAGGAGGACAGCTTGAGACTAGGAGTTCAAGGCGACAGTGAGCTACAACTGGGTCACTGCACTCCAGCCTGGGTGAAAGGGCCAGACTCTGTCTTAATAAATAAAAATGAAACAAAAAGAAAAATAAATAAAAACTCTCATTACTTAAGATTTTGTGACAATCAGTACAACTCAAAACCAATGATTAGGCTACAATTTGTTAACTTACATGCAAACCCCAAACCACCCTAAAATGGGTTATTTGGAACAGTTACTTTTAGAACCACCAAAATTCAAAGATACTGTTTAAAAATCCAGAAATAAAAACAAACTTGAATCATATATATTTTCAGTATCATTTAATTCTTTAATACTTTGGAGGCATTTCCTTTTCCTTTAACAAAAAGAAGTGATACTATATACTGCTATTAGAAAATTAAGAGTTTTTCTATAAAATCCTATGACATTAAAATTAAATTATTACTGAATACATGAAGTCTTATTTTTTAAAATGCAAAAGAAGCCAGACAATAGATGTAACAACCATGATGCAAACCCATTTCCCTCTGAAACAATGATTTTCTATGCTTTCTAAATATCCCTTCAGAAAAGCCATTCTCTAAATTAACTGAACAATTTGGAATACCAAGAAGAAGGTACAGAACAGGAACATGAGCAGATCATCAAATATATCTGCTTTTACTCCCTGGTGACTAAAGTGAAGTCCACAGGAGCAGGTGAAGAAGAAAACAACACAATCTCCTGACGTACAGTTGTCACAGACTCAGAGCAGTCTGCTGCTGTGACTCTCTCTGCCTGTGACCTGAGGGTCAGTTGCTTCATTAGATGCAATGGAAATAAAACTAACCGGGATCTGAAGAGAAATTTTAAAATGGAAGGTACACTCAACAGGTTTTACTTTTGGTGAAGTCATATGGTTTCCACCACTGAGCAAACTGCAGTGCCTTTTTCCTCTGATCCTCAAAGCTTTCTCGGATGCCTTTCCTCCAAAGTCGTGGTTCTATATCCAGCATCCCACCGATGATTTCCTTTTAAAGAATGAGAAAAGCAAAAACACAAGCATGTATAAATAATAATGAAACCGGAAATGAAACTATTTGTTTATTCTGCTATAAAATATAACAAGTAGTTCTCCACGACAATGTTCAATAATAAATACTAGTTGAAATTTTTAAAAATATTGTTTTCAATTAATTCTAACTCTGCAAACCCTGTGATTCTGGGAGTTCAAGTTAGCTGCATCTCCTATCAAGCAATTTGTCCATTTTGTTGCTGCTTATTAGCACATCTACTAGATGGTAACAAAGGGGAGGCAGAAAAAGTGAAATTTAATTAATTTGGTCTCTATTAGAGGCTCTGGTAAACAATTTTGCAAAAGAGTTTTAACCAACTTGTAGCAATTATTAACTTTATTGCTCAACTGCAGTTAAAACCCAGGCTAATGTTCACTCTCTGCTACCAAGCATATTTATAAATTAGTTTCTTCCACTATTATTAGCAGGAAATCCTTTTTCAGGAAACAAAATTCTATTTTAATACTAGCTTAAGTAAACCTATTAATAGAATTAAAAATTATATATTACTTTCATTTAAAAAATCACATTCTCAAGTCCTAAAACAAATGGCTTTTTGGTTATCTGCTTATCATTCTTGATTTCCTTCAAGATCCTCTTCCTGTGCTTTTAGCTATAGAAAAAAATCAAATTCAAGCATGTGAGTATCCATGTACAGAAAGACATGGGGGAGACTCCTAATACTTAAATGCTTAAAGAGGGGGCAGTATGGCAACAAAGCAAACAAAACAAAACAAAACAAAACAAAACAACACAGACTAAGGGTAAAATTCTGCATAGTCAGTCAAGCTCCACTGGACTGTGTGGTGAGTTCCTACACAAACCACATAATCTCTCAGATGCAGTTTCTTCATCTTACTTGGGGACCTACTATGCACAAGCAAATGCTGTATTTGTAGGGGATACAGCAATCACTAACATTCAGTTGTCTTCAGACAGAATAGAATCTGGAGTTGTGGTGGAAGCAATAATAATCCAGCTATACAGCATACTGTCTGATAAACTAGAAGAAGGTAGAAGAAGGTAAGTGCCAAAGCAGACCATTTGGAAACTCGAAAAAAGAAAAAATCCTATTTGTTGGATAGACCAGGAGATGTTTCATGGAAAAGAGAATCTCCTATCATCAGGAAAGAGAGAAAAAGGGGTCAACAGAGACAGGAGAAAAGAGAAATGTGGCAAATTTAGATTTAGTCCAAGAGTTTCTCAGAATTGGTCCAAATAAGCAATGCAGTTTAAGAAAGACTAGCTTATAAAAGTTTACCTAAAACTGTCTATAAAATATCAAGTTTTGTCTTATATGTACCATGTAAGCTTGGTGTTTGTTCTGTTATCCAAGCAGCTGATAATGCAAAGAGGCTATCCCAATAATCTTTTCTTTGTCTCTGAACAACTGCTTAAGTGGTAGACTGCAGGTAGTTCTTGAGTCCACAGGCTATTTCTTAAAAAAGCACATTTTGGGGAAAATGGCTCAGTGACACAGTGCTGACAGAGAAATTTACTTTTCACTCCAAAACTATATCATATAAACCAGAATGCATGAATAATAAGTGAAGGGAGCACAATCTCCCAGTTTAATGTATACAACTGTTTAAAAAAAAATGAATATTTTAAGTCCTTTTTTCTAGGACCAATTTTTTGTTTGTTTGTTTTTTGTTTTTGTTTTTAATAAATCCAGCCATAGAACTTTCAGTTATAAAGCTCTACTGAATAACAAAAGTATTTTTCAGAACAGCGGAAAAACAATTCTTTCTAGTTAAAAAAAAAATTATGAACGCTTGTCAAACAAGTTTCTGTAATATGTTGTAACAGTTCAAAGATGCATGTTACTTTGTTACTCTGGTTAACCTATTAAGGACAAGATCATTACAAGTTTTGAATCAAACCTCTAGAGTTGCAATTCCTCTTGAGATCTTTTTACTCATTGCAGAAGATAGTCCTCTGCAGGAGATGAAAGGGGAGCAGGGTGGAGAACAGGGAATCCCAAGCAGAGTTCATCAAGGCCTCCTTTTTTAGAGGGCCTGGCTACATAGGGCTAAATATGAGTGGAAAGGCCTGATCTATACCAGATTAAAGGCTCACTTCTAGGGCTATCATTGCCCAGACTACTTTTGACTGTTTTAGTTGCTGCATTAACTTTATTCCAGTTCCTGATACAAATAAACTTCTGAGATATTCTGTAGACTTTAATTTTAAAACTATACCGCACAGAAGATAAGGCAATCTGTCGTAGTAGATTAAAAGATCTGTATGCTAATATTTGCCCAGAAACTATCAGTATAAAATGAGTCATGTGTTCCTCTTGGACTACATCTTGTTTAACTATAAATGGAGATGAGAAAATTTGTTCTCCAGTTCTACTATGACTGTATGGACCCCTAGTTTTGTCACTTATTAGCACATTACCCTCGGCAAGTTACCTAATCTCTCTGTCGCTCAGTTTCTTCATTTGCAAAGTGAAATTTATAATAATATCCACACAACAGGATTATTGTGAGCATTAAATGAATGCAGCTGGCACACTGTAAGCCCTTAATCAGTTTTAGCAATTATCATCATTCTCAACACAATCCTGGCTGCCTCCAAAAACAACCATTATAGTAACTGTTGACACTGTCAAGAAATGTTTGGTTCTAAAGTAACATTTCTGACTCTGTTATATATTTTCTGGGATATTTTTATTAATAGTTGCTAGGTATTTTCTCTCTAAAAACTGGGTGGAACAGTACTCACCAACTTCTTTGTATACTGTGTCCAAAGTTTCTATTTCCCTTCAAAAGAAAAATGTTACCAAATTGTTAACTCTGGGATTTTATCAAATTTGTGAGCATACCTTTCCAAAGTAATGAGAGAATTTCTGCTGATCTTCAATTACATGGGCAAACCCTCCGTGAAGGCCAAAATCCACAGAGAAGTAAGGTAACCCTCTGGGTACCTAAATAAACAGACAAATCACAAATGGAATACACTATGAAATCAGGAAGTTATGTTTAATCCCTCCCCTCTTCTCTGGAGGGACAGTAATTTCAGGCATCCCTCAAGACAAATATATAAAATTAATTTGCAATTCTAGAAATATTTAAACAATGACCTACATTTCTGAGTAAAATATTTCATTTTGCTAGCCTTTCAGCCAGATAGTTCACCATTATGTACCAATTATAATCAAAACCATCTATTTTGCTGTCCTTGGGGAAAACCAGGAGGAAAATGATGCTTTTAAAAACACAAATGCAGAATAATTTCCCTTAGGCTACACAAATAGAGAATAAGCATATGCCTTCTTAAATTCTACTCACGATGCAGAACAGCAAGAGAGACCTGGCCACATACTAAGAGCTCTCCTTGAACCTTTACAGCTGTGCATTTATCAAAGATAAATTATACAAAAATAATCATAATTTTTTTATGAGCTGGTGAAAGAGGTATAGCAATACTTAGTTTATCAGCCTTATTTCAAAATATCTCCAGGATTAAATCCCTATTGTCTTTTTCTCTTCCTTCTTTACTCCTCCCCTTTTTCCCTCACTCACTGTCTCTACACACAGACACACATACACACACACACAAACTTTAAACTATCTCATGACTAGAAAAAGCCAAAACTTCTTGCTTTATCAATTAAGTAGATTTGGGGTCCTTGCAAGTTTTGCTTCAAAGCCCAAATTTTGCCACTATAAATTATCCAAGTGGATCAATTTATAGTAACATTTCTCCTCTCTAAACCCCTCATACAGTACGTACTTACTTTACTTATTTGGCACTGAGCCACAGGGTCCTACTTAACTATACAAATTGTGTATTGTGTCCTTAAAAAGGCACAATGTGGAAGGGCACAGTATGGTATAGTGGAAAGTGGTCACCTTGAAATATTATAAGGCAACTAAAATTAAGGCTTATTAAAAGTTCCTGTTATTTAAAAAGTACAAATAAAAATCTGTTTACAAAATAGTATATAACATTAAATACAGACAAATGGGTTACGATTTGTGGCTTTAATTTTTCTTTCTATATTTCTGCATTTTTAAATATAATAATCATGTTATGACCTTGACTATTAGGAAAAAATAAAGTAAGAGAGACAGACAAGGCTCCAACTGCAACTCTGATTCTTATTTGAATAAGAATTCAAGTGTATTTCAGACAAGTTAATTAACATCTCCGAGTCGCATGAGAAACATGAACACCCTAGTCCCCAATTTGCCATGAATATGCTGCCTTCCGTGACAAAAGGGACTTTGCAGATGTGATTAAGCATCTTGAAATGAGGGGATTATCCTGGCTAATGCAGATAGGCCCAATGTAATCATAAAGACACTAATAAGAGAGAGATAGGAGGGTCAGAGTCAGAGAAAGATGCAAGATACTACACTTTTGGCTTTGAAGATGAACAAAGGGGCCATAAGCCATGGAATGCAGGTGGCTTCTAACAGCTAGAAAAGGCAAAGGAACGGATTCTTTCTAGAGCTGCCAGAAGAAATGCAGGCCTGCTGACACCTTGATGTTAGCCCAAAGAAACCCAATTTACACTTGTGATCACCAGATTTTTAAGATAAACCTGTGCGTGGTGTTTTAGGCCAATATGTTTGTGGTAATTTCTTACAGCAGTAATAGGAAACCACTACACATGCCAAGGCTCAACAAACTATGGCATATTTGCCAAGAAGGCACAATGAACACATTGCTACTTTCCAAAAATGCAACTGCTGTCACAAGCTTCCCTATTCTCTCCCTGCAGGAAGCAAAAGGTACAGCCTGCTGCTTGCTAGAAGAGTTGCTAGTCAGCAGGCACTGCAAAGGCTCTAGCATCAAAGCGTAGGTACATTTACCACTTTCTTTTTCCTGCACTGGCCAGTCAGAGGAAATGCATTTGAAACTCTCATACCACTCTTTAAAGGCACTGACAGAATTAAAGCAAAATCTTTTATTTATGGTAGAAAAATAGAAGAAGTATTTGGATTTTTCACTTTTATTCCAGATGTTACTCCTGATTTCTTATGAGCAGCCTTCAGTTTGAAGGCCTCTGGTAAACCCACATTTTCGTGAGAAGTGCTTTCTTTAGTTTATAATATCAGTCTCTAAATGTCGGATGTTTCTTCGATTTCTATAGTTATCACAAAATTAAAATACAATTTTTTAAAGTTCAGAAAGAATTCTCGTGCAATATCACTAAAAGAGCCTTGTGAAAAATGACCACTTTTCTTGACAGTTACTTATGATCATGTAATTCCTCTGCAATGAACACTCAGATCTGTTTTTCCTGTTTATTTCCATGAACTTCACATTACACTGAAAAGAAAGCAAATGGGCCAGAGAAAATGAACCAAATGGGTGGAAAAAGAGAAGTTTACCTTCATACAGCATAGAAAAATATAAATTTTAAAAAATCAAAATGGATTACACATACGTGAATCTCTATTATAAGCCAAGAATTTACACAGTGAAAAAAAAAAAAAAACACTCCACCCTCGATGCAGGCAAAATACTTCATGAAATTATTAAGGACATAAAGCTTTTAAAAAGAAGTATAATAAGGTTCTTTCAGAAGTAATAATAATGTTAAAATAACTCAATATTATTCACTCCATGTTTAAAAATACTTTTATTAATTTTTGAAAACATAATGGAACGTTTATTAACTAAAAAGTGACCTTCTTTGGAATTATTCTTAAATTTATGTACTCTTCCCATTCTTAATTCCATCCACATAATTATAAAATCTTAAAAGGGGCTGGGCGCAGTGGCTCACACCTGTAATCCCAGCACTTTGGAAGGCTAATGTAGGCCAATCACAAGGTCAGGATTTTGAGACCAGTCTGATCAACATGGTGAAAAGCCCATCTGTACTAAAAATACAAAACTTAGCTGGGCGTGGTGGTGTACACCTGTAATCTCAGCTACTCAGAAGGCTGAGGCAGGAGAATCACTTGAACCTGGGAGATGGAGGTTGCAGTGACCCGAGATCACACCACTGTACCATAGCCTGTGCGACAAAGCAAGACTCTGTCTCAAAAAAAGGGATCTCAAGAGGTCATCTGGCTCATCCTTCATTGACTGTGACCCACAGCTAGTCTCAGATACAATACTATGTGATGCCTTAATGAAAGCAATTGTTGCTGTCTTTGAAATGCTTTAAAGTTGAATATACGATTGCCATTTTTACAGGCTCTGTATTTCTTATTTTTCATAATGTTAAGTTAAAATATTAAGACCTCCTGGCTACCTAATTCAGGCACTCAAGCTTTTACAAAAGAAACAAATAATAACGTACTAGATGGTTTGCCAGTAAGAAAATGTAAATACATGATAGAAAATGGGGACTAATGCATCAAAATATTTTTTCCTTTGAAATATTTTGTGTTCTGAAAGAATACTTAAAATTTTTTTCTGAAAGAATACTTAACAGCATGAGAAATTATAACATGAGAAGTGAAAAACCTAGCACAAACGGTGTATGTACATTAAATGCCTTTTTCTATAAGCACATAAAGGAGAGAAGTAAACAGTACATTTAGAGGGTTTGTTTGGTTTTGTTCTATTTTGTTTTTTAATGTGTCATCTGGCCCAATTCATCAGCAGAGAAGAGAAAATGATTGTAGATAATGTTTTACCTCTGAAATAAAACTATGTGTCTTGAATAATGTAATAAAATGGAATCTTTTGATTGGAATATAGTAAGTGTAATAAGGAATCCTATTAGTTACATAACATTTAACAGTAGTCTGGCTTCCCAAAAGAAGAAATGGTGAATAAGTATTCTAGCGACATCTAACAGAACAGGGACTGGCAAACTTTTTCTGAAAAGGACCACACAATAAAATACTTTAGGCTTTGCAGGTCATACGTTCTTCGTAGGGACTACACAAATGTGCCATTGTACCATGAAAGGAGAACATAAGCAATACCTAAGCAAATGAGCGTGGCTGTGTTCCAATAAAAGTACATTGACACAAACAGGTAGAAGATTGGATATGGCACGCAGGGCTTGAGTTGCCAACCCCAGCACTATACTATAATCTCCATCAAGTCTGGAATCTTTTCTGTTTTTTCCCCACTATGTACAAAAAGTATCCTGAACAGTGCCTGGTAAATAACAGGCACACAATAAATATCTGTAGAATCAACTTCTTTTTCAATAGAAAAACAAAAAAGGAACCACACTTCTATTAAATCTCTATTCCATTTAATTTGTATTTCTAGAAAAGAAAAAAAAAAATCATTACCAGACATACTCAACTTATGTGTAACCTGTACATAAAAGTTGATCTGCAAATAAAGATTAAATTATGAAGTGTGATTAAGCAAGTCTCAAAACCCTACAATCTAACTCAGCTACTATTTTATAGTTTTATAGGAACATAATAGTGAACCTCGGTATAAGAAAAAGAAAATGAGTTCCCAATTCAAAATAGAACCTCTAGGAAAATTTTTCTCTCAGTATTATTACAGAACAATATATTCCAAGAAGGCCCTTCTCACTACTTGTCCCATAGGGGCTGAGAAGCTCACCATAGGAGTTCTTACGGCAGACTAACGGCTGCCATAGCCAATTATAGGAACTACAGTGGCAGAAGACCAAAGGTCATGGAGAAACATTCATGTGAACAAATAGAGACACTCTACAAAGAAATAAGCATTTTCTAGACCAGGTAGGATAAAAATAACTTCATCATTTGTGTAATTAGTTATTTTGCCATCAACCAATGATCTCTTTCTAAACTAAGATGTAGAAATGAATAAAGATGCTGAGCACTAGGATAATTTCTTTCACCAGAAAAAAATGGATACTTACAGACTTTCTGATATCTTTTAAAGAGAGATCTATCAACTTCTTGTTCATGGACCATTCTTCATCAGATTCCATTATGGCTTTCTAAAATATAGCCATTTATTAAGTGAAAAAAGAACATGTAAGTAAATAAAAAGCAGGCAGCTTATAACAAGCAATGCAGTAAATTAACTATGGGGTATATTAGAAATAGGAGGCCATTATTCTGAACTGATTAAGGCTTTAATTTTAGTTATTTAAAATATGAACTTCTTAAATTTTTAAAATCCTGTCATTAGCCAAACATGATATTATTTTACTTATTCTTAACTGTTGTACTAACTTGAGTTCAACTTTACATGACAATCCTTAATAAGACCAACCAATTTAATATGAAACATAATTTGTGTTCATAAAGTTCAATTTAATATGGAACATAATTTGTGAACCTTAGTAATCTCTATGACCTTGCTGCAGTTATAGAGATTACTAAATAAATTCATTTAGTTTTGCTGTTCTTCTTCCAAAAAGTAACAGAGTAAGTTACATGCTTTCTGGCAACCAAAGGCTTGCACGATTTCTGCCCAAATAATAACACAGTAAAAATACAGGAAAAAATGTGCTCTAGAAAATAAAGCGTATTTTTTAAAAATGCAGAAAGCATAAGTCTATTTCAAGAGGATAGCAACTTAACTTTGATTGCATGCAACTCAATAATTTTATCTACCCCACGCATGTTTTATGTTTTTGATGTCAGAATTTATACAACTATAATTTGTCAATTTGTAATTTAAAAAATAAGAATTTTTTAAAATGCAGGGAAAAAATACATAGAAATGGAATAAGACTTTTTATGCTAAGCAATGTACCTACTATTTATGCTAAAGAAATATTAAAAAGCCAGAGTGATGAATATAAAATAACTTCATGTTTTTACAGTACTATCAATGAAGCAAATTTTAAAGATAAAATAACACTCAGATAAGTTCAATTTAAATAGAAAAGATACAGAGCTATTCCCTATTTAAAAGGTATAAGTTCCTTGGCTTGACACTGTAATATAGCATATTCAATACAAAAGCATCTTCAATGATCACATAAAAGGTTTCGTGTAGTAAAGTGATACACCATTCTAAGAGATGACATTTTTGTCAATCCTTATGAGCAAAAGTGGCTGCTCTATGTTAGGTAATATTCCTTAAATGACTCTAGTCACAATCATCTAGGACTGTATTGAGGAAGTACAAAATTAAGCATGCTGAAAAAAGTATAATAATCTCTTTTCAACTAAGTTTGGTTAACACAGGACTGACATGGGTCTTCGGGATTATCTGGTTTATTCTCTTATACCTTAACAGCCTAATTCTTTACATTAAATAATCAGGTTGTCTTTAAAAATTGCTAGAGAGAAAGTAGAATTTTACCAATTCATAAATCTTAACAGATTTTACAATTCTTTTTATTGGAACTTACAGTTCATATTAATAAATTTTATCATCCCATGCTGTCTAAATGTTTCACATGCAATCTTCTTATATCAGATCACAAAACATTATCTTCCTTTATCTTTGGACTTGTTATTGTTTCATATATGGTTCTACATTTATACATCTGTATTAGTCTATAAATTACAATGTATTTAGATCAGGATCAAACACATGCTATTTTATAAAAGCTCTTTGAATACTGTAAATCACGCTTAGTTGGTTATGAACTCTAGTCATTATATGTCCAAAATTACATATCAAGGTTAGAATTTTTTCTTTTAACAAAAAGCATGAAATATTAAATACTAAAACTTACAGCAATAACTTGTCTCAGCAATTGTAATGTGTACTATTTGTTATCTTTGGCTCTAGTGTATTTCAGTAGTCAGTTTTCTAGAGTTCTGACTATAATTTTGACTTGAAAGTATTTCAAAGTAAAATAATGATTTCATCTGAGAAATAGAAAATTAAAATAGAAATTATGTTACCATTTAATAGTATATTCGTACTCCTAAATAAGCATGCTTTTAAAATGTCAAAATCAAAAATCTTCTGACAGCAATTTATAGAGCAGAATATTTTGTGCTTTCTTTCCTTTTTTTTTTTTTTTTTTTTTTTTTTTTTTTTTTTTTTTTTTTTTTTTTTTTTTTTGAGGCAGGGTCTCACTCTGTCACCCAGTCCAGAGTGCAGTGGTGCAACTGCGGTTTACTGCAACCTCCACCTCCCGGGTTCAAGTGATTCTCCTGCCTCAGCCTCCCAAGTAGCTGGGATTACAGGTGCCTGCCACCACAGCCAGTTAATTTTTGTATTTTTAGTGGAGTCGGGGTTTTATCATGTTGGTCAGGCCGGTCTTGAACTCCTGACCTCAAGTGATCCGCCCATCTTGGCCTCCCAAGTGAGCCACTGTGCCTGGCCTATTTCATTTCTTTGTATAAATTTTGATGTAAGTATATAGGAAAAAAATACATTAATAAAGACAACAATATCTGTAAAATAGCACTGTAGCAAAAAATAAGTATGTATGCAAATACTACTTATAAATACCTTAAAATAGATGGGAGCCATATCACCCACTTCCTTGGGGACAGGAATACATTCATAAACCATGTGATACTGTTTCTTCATGCTCATATTAGTTTCTAAAAAGATGCAGTCCAATCCTTTATCTTCAAACATCTTTACCAATGATTTTCTGAACATCTAAAAACAAAAGAACTAGGTAAAGAAAATACTTATAGGAGATTCAAAATAAAGCATTTTCAGGAGACTTGAAACATGAAAACCTTAATTAAAAAATACAACAAATCCCTTTAAGGTGAAAAATAAACGGCAATACTGAACTCTGTAATGTTATAGTTACCTTACTTTCTAAATCTACTATATAATTTCATATATTTAAGCAAAATTAAAAAAAAAAAACTGAAACCCACTATGTATATATTACAGTTTCAATAAAATGAGAGAAAGAAGAGATAAAAATCAAATTTCAGTGGTAAAATATGCAGAGCTGACAGAACAATTACAGGAAAACATCCATAAGCCAAAAGAGGTGCTCTGCACAGATGGGCATCCTTCAACTCAGAAATACATAATTCACTTCCAATTGTTTCCCTGTGCTTATAGCTTCTGCATTTGTTGGTTCCCTGTCTGCTGACCCATCACTAGTAACTTTGTATATTCAGGCAGTCCTCTACTCTATTTTCACAAATAATGCAATCCTATAAATTATATGAAATCCAAATATACCAAAGTTGAAAAGTAATAGGGTTTTCTCTCCCTAAGGAACTAAGCATTATTATACAACTATATACAAGTATACACACAGATATAATCAGTGTGTGTGTGTGTGTGTGTGTGTGTGTGTGTGTGTGTATTTCACACTCCTAGGCCTAAGGGGCAGCTGTTTGTAGAGGGTGGCTGAATGGGGCTGAGTGGTCCAGGATGTCCATATACATTCACGTGACACCCCTTGGAGTACAGGATGGGGCTAGGGATTGAAAATAAGGGGCCGGGAGCAGTGGCTCACTCCTATAATCCCAGCACTTTGGGAGACTGAGGTGGGTAGATTATAAGGTCAAGAGATCGAGACCATCCTGGTCAACATGGTGAAACCCTGTCTCTACTAAAAATACAAAAATTAGTTGGGCATGGTGGTGTGCACCTGTAGTCCCAGCTACTCGGGAGGCTGAGGCAGGAGAATTGCTTGAACCCAGGAGGCGGAGGTTGTAGTGAGCCAAGATCGTGCCATTGCACTCCAGCCTGGGTAACAAGAGTGAAACTCCGTATCAAAAAAAAAGAAAAGAAAAGAAAAGAAAAGAAGGGGAGCAGGCTGAAGGCTGGGTGCCAGAGCCCAGCTCTGCCCATACCACCATGTCTTACTGTGAACCTCTCAAGGTGTCTAAGAATTCTGGATGGGTGCGGTGGTTAACACCAGTAATCCTAGCATTTTGGGGGGCCAAGACAGATGGGTCACCTGAGGTCAGGAGTTTAAGAATGAGGTGTCTAAGAATTCTAAATTAAAGCTGGCCTTGTAAGATGTTGTGAAAGTATATTTAAGTAGGAAGATAAAATGTATTTTATTTAGATTTATCAGCTTGATTTATAACTTTTTAATATTTTGTTTAAACATTTTTGTTTTGAGGTAATTACAGATCACATATAGTTATAAGAAATAATACAGAAAGATCTGTGTAAGGTTTACTCAGTTTCTCCCAAAGGTAACATCTTATAAAACTATACTATATAATATCACAACCAGGATACTGACATTGATATAGTCAAGATTAAGAGCATTTCCAACAGCGTCCAGAAAGATCCCTACTGTTACTGGTTTACTACTACTTCTTCTTTTATTTTTAGAGATGTGGTTATGCTATGTTGCCCAGGCTGACGTACCATCGGCTATTCACAGGTGCGATTACAGCACACTACAACCTCATACTCAGGCTCAAACACTCCTCCTCCATTAGCCACCTGAGTAGCTGGGACTAAAGGTGCACACCACCATGGTCAGCTCCTGTTATCTTTCATAGTCACAGTCATTCCACACCCTACCTAGTCCCCATTCCCCCTTCTTCTGCCTTCACCCTTAATGTGTTCCTGATTTAATTTTGACATTTCAATAATGTTACATAAATAGAACCATGTAATCTTTTGAGGTAGGCTTTGTTTTTTCTTCAACTTTTACTTTAAGTTCAAGGGTACATGTGCAGGATGTGTATGTTACAAAGTGTGCCATGGTGGTTTGCTGCACAGATCATCCCATTACCTAGGTATTAAGCCTAGCATCCATCAGTTATTCCTCCTGATGCTCTCCCTCTTCCCATCGCACACCCACCGACAGACTCCAGTGTGTGTTGTTCCCCAATGCCATGTATCCAGGTGTTCTCAACATTTAGCTCCCATTTATAAGTAAGAACACGTGGTATTTGGTTTTCTCTTCTGGCATTAACGTGCTGAGGATAATGGCTTCCAACTCCATCCATGTCCCTGCAAAGGACATTACCTCATTCCTTTTTATGGCTGCATAGTATTCCATGGTGTACATGTACCACATTTTCTTTATCCAATCTATCATTTATGGGCATTTAGGTTGTTTCAGTTCTCAACGTAAACAAGTGTGCTTTTCAGGGTCTATTTAGTGTCACATTTCCATGTATTTGTGCTTCCTGTTGTTGATTTTCCTGTTCAAACTGGACCCTAAGCACATTACTGAAGTGCCATCTGGTGTTCATTAGCATAAGACTGTGATGTGATATGCCTTATGGGGAGAATAAGCTCTAGACAAGCTTCCTTCAAGCAGTCTTTAATCTTTGATTCTGAGAGTTTTTATCATAAAAGTGCATGAATTTCATCAAATGTTTTTTCCTTACTGATTGATATGATCATGGTGAATTATACTGATTTATTCTCAAAATTGAACCAGTCTTGCATACTTGGTATAAGCCCCACTTGGACATAGTGTGTTATTGTTTTTATCATAGAGTTTACTGCCAAACTCTATTTGTTAACATTTTGTTAATAATTTTTACACCTCTATTCACAAGGGATATTGAGCTGCATTTGATTTAACTGTCTTGTGGTATGAGGATAACACTAACTTATGGTATCAGGATAATGCTAACTTCCAATACAAATGAATTGGAAAGTGTTCTTTCCTCAAGAGATTCTATAAAACTGGTGTCAATTCTTTAAAAGTTTTGTAACATTCTCCAGTGAAACCATCTGGGTTTGGAGATTTATTTTTTTAGAAGTTTTCCATTTTGAAGTTTACTTCTTTATTAGTTAAAAGATTGTTCAAATTGTCTCTTTCATATTGAGTGTGTTATAACAGTTTGTAATTCAAGGAACTGGTCTATTACATCCATGTTGTCAAACTTATTTAGAGTTGTTCATATGATTCCCTTATATTTTTAATGACTGCAAAATCTGTACTGATACTGTTTCCTTTCTGATACTGGTAACTTGCTTTTTCTCATTTTTTCTTCTTTGTTGGTCTTGCTGGAAGTTTGTTGATTTACCTTTTTTAAGAGCCCACCTTTTGTTTCACTAATTTTCTCTGTGATTTTCTATTTTCAATTTCACTGATTTCTGCTCTTAACTTTATATTTCTGTTCTTCTGCTTGCTTTGGATTTACTTTGCTCTTCTTTTTCTAGGTTCTTGAGGTGAAGGTTTTTCCTCTTTTCTATCTTAAGTATTTAGTGCTATAAATTTCTCTCTTGGTACTCCCTTAGCTGTGCCTCATAAATCTTAACATTTTAAATTTCATTGTAATTCCATTTTATTATTATTTTTTAACTTTCTCCTGAAACTTCTGAGCTTGACTGAAGTGTATTATTTAATTTCCAAGTATTTAAAAATTTTTCTATTATCTTTCTGTTATTAATTTCTAGTTTGATTCCACTGTGGTCAGAGAATGCACTCTGTATGATTTCAATTGTTTTAAATTTCTTGAGGTTAGTTTTGTGGCAAGATATAGTTTATTTTGATACAGGCTCTGAGAAAAATAAGTTTTCTAATATTGTTGAGTGGAGTGTTATACAAATATTGATTAGATCTTTCTGACTGATAGTTAAAGTAGGCTGACTAATGGCCCTCAAAGAAATCCAGGTCCTATTCTCAAGAACCTGGCAAAAGAGACTTTTCAAATATAATTAAGAATCTTGAGATAGGAATATTATCCTGAATTACCTAGGTATATCTTAAATGTAATTAAAAGTTGCCTTATAAGAGGGAGGCAGGGGAAGTTTTGACTGAAGAAGAGAAGGCAATATGATAGAAGCCGAGATCGAAATGATGCAGCCACAAACCAAGAAATGCTGGCAGCCCCCTGAAACTGAAGAGGTAAGGAATAGATTCTCTCCTAGAGTCTCCAGAAGCAACCAGCCCAGCCAATACCTTGATTTTAGCCCCATAAGACTCATTTGGAATCTGACCTCCAGAAAATAAGAAAATACACTTCCATAGTTTTACAGCACAAACTCTGTGATAATTTGTCATAGAAACCACAGGAAACTAATGCAATGGGGTTTTTAAGTTCTTTTATATCCTTGATGATTTTCAGTCTGGTTGTTCTATCAATTGTTGAAAAGAGGGGACTGAAGTCTCTAACAATAATTATGAATTTGTCATTTTCTCCTTTCAGCTCTATCAGGTTTTGTTTTACACATTTTGTGCCTCAGTGTTGGTGCACACACATGTAGGACTGCTATGTCTTCTTGGTGGATTGACCCTTCTGTCATTATGCAATGTCCCTCTCTTCTTTGGTAATTTCCTCTGCTCTGAAGTCTACTTTATCTGGCATAAATATAGCCACTCCTGCTTTCTTTTGATTAATGGTTGCATGATAGATATTTTTCCATCCTTTTATATTATTCTACCTGTAATATTATTACATCTGAAGTGAGTTCTTGTAGACAGCATATAGTTGAGTTATAAAATCCTGTCTACCAAACTATCTTTTAACTGATATGTTTATACTGCTTATTGATATAGTAGAGATATTCTATTTTTATTTTTTTGTTTTTTGTTTGTTTTCTCTATTGTTTTTCTGGTTCCTTTCTCCTGCCTTCCTGTGGTTACTTCAACATTTTTAGAATTCCATTTTGATTTATCAGTAGTGTTTTTCAGTCTGTCAATTTGTATATTTTTAAAGCGGTTCTAAGTGTTGCTCTAAAGGCATTACACATACATACATACA